CTGTATAAAAAGAAATGAAAAAAAATGTTTTGTTTTTTTATATTTATTAGAAGTTAAGGAAAACTCATTGAGAGAATCAATATAAAAAAAAACAATGCTTACAATACATATAAAAAACAACAAAGTACCATATTCCTGTGTGTATAAGACACAGCTGCTTCTTCTTCACCCCCCCCTAAAAAAATCATGTCCAAAAACCTGCTGTGTCTCATACTTTAGATTAGAACTCTTTTTCCAAGACTCAAAACTCTCAAAATCAGGTCAAATTGGATTTATTTGTTTACTGGGGAGAGAGAGAGAAGATTTCTACAAGACTGGTATTGAGATCTCATCAATTTACTGTTGAGCTGGTAGATGTAACCGTAAATTCTATGCTAACATTTTCTTTTCTCACCTGTGGAACTACCTTCCAGCTCCATGCTTTCCAGCCAACTTCAATCTGCAAAAATTTTAAATGCAATGCCAATTACTATCTACTGTCCTCCTGATTACTCTTTCCTATTCCTGCTCATTATTAATGTTTCTGTTCTTAATTCTTCCACATCCTGTAACCCCTGGTCTTAGTGGCTTTATTGCCTTGCATGGAGTGACAGCAATTAAAATAAATAAAATATCTATATAATGGCAACATTATAACAAAGGGAAATAAATCTACACAATAAAACTAAGTCACATAGAGTTCCATACTTTTTGCAGATTTTGTTGAGTTTGGAAATTATTTAAAAGGTAAAATAATTTATAATGAAGAAGAAAAAAAGAAAAAAAAAAACATTTTTGCAATGCTTACAAATCACAAAAGTAAACATTTCCCTTTTTATTTTCCATTTTCACAAGTTTTGGCCATTTTCTTTGCTTTAAAATCCGTCTGTTTTTTTTAAATGCAGTTTTATACTCCCAAGTGAACTATACACAAAGGATTACAGTATTTCCTATCGTCTTGTAAAGTAAAATATTAGCTTGTTCCACACAGATTTGTTCAGAAATTGGATTTTTTTTTCTTAGAAAACATTTAAATAATTTAATTCTTAATTATTCAATAATTAACACAATTAAAGAAAATGAACCTCCCAGCCAAGATCAAAGTTTTTATAAGATATGTATATTTCTTAAAAAGGTTTAATTAATACTTACCAGACTGTAAGGGCAAACAATGCAATCAGGATAAAAGGCCGTTTCTAAAGGAGGGGTTAGGGAGACAAATGCAGGTTCAATCCCTACTGGGGGGTACATTCTCTTTAATAAGATTTTTGATGATCTAAGCTGGTAGATGTTAATTTCAATGTTTGTAATCAAATACAGGTGTCTATTCAAATATGTGTGCCCACTAAGATAAGGCTCACAGCATCAGAAATATTGTCTAATTAAAGAGAAAAGAAAAAAAAAAGCTAATCACTTTATATAAGTTTATAATTTAATATTTATAGAAGTGCTTGATATATGAGAGAGCACTCATAAATACGCTACATAGTGTAGATCACTTGAAGTGTGAAACTGACAGTCACCATACTGGATTCATTCTTATGTTCACTATATATATATATATATATATATATATTTCAAAAATTTTGCTTGAAGATGAAACAGAGCTTGATACTTTAATTCAATTTAATTTTTATAATTAAATTGAAGTTTTTAGCTCCTGTTTTTGAAACACGAGAACTCTTATGTAGCGATGGAATCATTTTTAAAAAATAATTATACTTATCTACTTATGTATTGAACACAGTTTTTTAAAAATAAAACAAAAATACTAAAAAACTTCAGATTATTAACCTAACATGTTCTTTCCTATTTTTCTATTTACATACACACACACATATATATATATATATATATATATATGCCATTTGAATGGATGAAATATTATAATGGCTAAATTCTGTATTAGTTTTTTTTTTTTTGTTGTAGCTTTCACAGTTAAATTTCTAATTCTGACATGAACTTAGTCTGTACCGGGGTTGAATAAGACTGACAAATTCTATTTTTTCAATGGTTGAAATAAGCTTATTCCCTATATGAGGTGATTTTGGATTTTAATGTGTGCTAATGTCTGTAATAATAAATACATTGCTTCCTTTTTTCGGATTAGTTTTAAAATTTTATATTACTAGGATCCACTTGGATTATATAACAATGGATTTATTACCTTTACTATGTATATATATATATATATATATATATATATATATATATATATATATATATATATATATACACACACACACACATACACAGGGTGAGATGGGTAAATTGTCATATTTTATATTTTTAATTTCACGTATACACATTGATTGTTTTTGTCAACTATATATTTTTCTCTCTCTCTCTCTCACACACACACACACACACACACAGGGATGCACTGGATAAATTTTCATCTGAATTATGCAAAAATGAAAATAACACTGACATCTCATTTTAAGATATTTTTACCAAAATTACACAAAAATATCTTGAAATACTAAAGAGTAAATTCATCCAATAAAATTGCCATTGTCTCTCACCATGACCTCCAGACAACTTCAGAATCACTTGCAACTCTTCTTGACAGTCTCCTTGTTTAAGTTGGTGAATGCTGCTATAATCCTTGCTTTCAGTTCATCTTTGGTGTTACAACTGACCCAACTATACTGTGCAGTCAACAAAATCAAAAGTAAACAACACACATGCACAAAATTAAAAATATAAAAAAATGGCAAAAATTTACCCATCACCCACTATATATATATATATATATATACAGGGTGACACCACCCACCCTCCAAAAAAGAACAGAATCTACAAATTTTTGAATAAAACTTAATATTAATTTTTCTTCTTTTCTCTTACAGAGTATATAAGTTGACTTTGTGCATGAAATATTGGAACAATAGTCTTCCCCAATATGTCTTAGTCAACCAATGAAAAAACATTTTGCATGGAGGCCTATTTCACCAACAAATCATACACTTAGTGCAAGCAAACTTTCAGAAAAACTTTAGACTAGGTTCAGAAGTTCAGAGAGTATGGGACTGTGCAAAATCTGAACTCTAAAAAGGTCCGAGGGTGAGTGCTAGAACAAAAAGGAACATTGATGCTGTATGGGGATCATGGGGCAGGGCCCAAAGAAATTACTTTGACAGTGAAGTCAACAGCTGGGAATTGCAAAAGACGTGTTCTTAAATCAGATCTTTATTTGTATCATTACAACATCCAAATAAAGCAAAGATTTATGGAGACAGACATAGAAAACCTCTAGACATCATATTCAATAAAAATTTAAATTTGCTATAATGTTATACATTAGACACATGTCATCTCATATGAGAGAAGAAACGTAATTTATCAAAATACTTGACAAACCACATACACATTGAAATATGATTGCATTTGTGTAGAGTTTTTTTTTTTTTTAAATGTTTTTGATGTAATATCCTATAATAAAGTGTATACATAATAGGATAAACAACAACTAGTAAACATTTATCAATCTAACAGATTTCACTTTTATTAATCCTTCATCAGAAAATTAAATATTGAGAAAAAGAAAAAGAATTTGATACAGCATTTAATAAAAGTGAAACATATTAGATTGATAACCATTTGCTATTTGTTGTTTTTCCTATCATTCTCTATTTAATCCAAAGTCATACAATATTCAAATACAAGTATCCACTATAACATTTGAAGTAAAAATAAATGTTGGATTAAAAGTAAATCCATTAATTCCTTACAAATTGCATTGTTTAAATTTTACATACAAAACTGACCAGATAAGAGCGTTCAATATATATATATATATATATATATATATATATATATATATATATATATATATATATATAGTGTAACCCAGATATGAGAGAGAGAGTTGTCGGGACCGGAGAAGAAATCTCTTATATCTGAGTTTGGTCTATTTTATATACATTAACACAGGCTCTAATTTGGGACCAGAGAAAATCTCTCTTATATCCGGGTTACACTGTGTGTGTGTGTGTGTATATATATATATATATATATATATGCACGTTTCATTAAATAATATAGACAAGTGTCATCTATTTATTTTATGTAAAATTTTTTCGTAACGTCTGATAAGTTTAATAACATTAACATTGAACGAAGAAAGAAATTCACAATATTGATCCATATTTTTTTTAATACAATCTAAGCTTTTGGCTTACATAAGCCATTATCAAAGATGTCAATTACAACATATTAAACAATATACGGACACGACAGTGATGATAATCTGTCATTGTTTACATAGATGATTTCTAAGTAACGATAAACACGTGCATATAAGACGCTACAAGCGAAAATCGCACCACATCTCATGACGTCACATATGTCCACACGAGAGGGAATTGTAGAAGGATGGGAAGTCGTTGGTATAAACCAATGGTTTCTATTACCAATTATAGACATTTAAGAATATTTGTAGAGATTCCATAGTTGATTTTGTTTAGGTTGGGTTTCAACTGTTTGATGTATAATGCTTCAAGGATTTTTAGTTTTTGTCTATTGTTTTCATGTCGAAGTATAATTGTGTTTTCGACAAGTATTTTACGGAATTGTGATTGTGGGCAGGCATGTTGTTTTAAATGCCTAAAAATGTTAGAGTTTTCATTCGTGTGTGTGTGTGTGTGTGTGTGTGTGTGTGTGTGTGTGTGTGTGTGTTTGGGCAGCAATTTCTCTTTTATACAGGTTTCATAGAAAATTACTGTTAAAGCACTACAATTAAGATTTTCACATTTTTCTTGCATGCATATAAGAGATTTATTTTCAGGATAGTGTGTGTTGGGTAGTACTTACACATACTACACCCAAAAAAGAAATCTCTTGTGCACATGCAAAAAAATAAATAAAAACAAAAACCTTAATCGCAGTCATCTTCAATGAAACCTGTGTGTGTGTCTAATAAAATAGCGAGAAACAAAGAGATTCTCTGCTACCAGACATTTCAAAGGAAAGCCAGAACAAATTTTGTCAGAGCAACTAAGTTAGTAAATGTTTCTTGA